TTTGGCATCCTCTTAAATTGGGTACCTGCTGTGTATGAGGAAAGGGTATGTCAAAAGTTGCCCAAACATTTGGAAATGAATCCTAGGCAACATCCTAGCCATGCCATACTCCATTTCTTTTCTTCACAATAACAAACCGGAGAAGTAGATTGGGAGGATAAAAAGAATGACTGGTCTTAAATGAGCTTCTGTGGCTGGAGGTTGTTCTGCCCCAGCTCCGGATTCCCGAGGATATTGACACACACCAAAGGTCCTTATCAAATTTATTAAGTAGCAAGAATAAACCAAAGTCCAGCAAGGTTGGCAACCAGCCCAGAAAGCAAGATACGATAAGACTTTTCCAAAAATGCTCGGATGATAATTAAAAGTTGTTTCTAGCAAGAAACTTACTAACAGTGTGTGACTTAAATAGGCTAAGGGAGTGGCCAATTATCCTCAAGCCTTACTCTCGAGGAGACCTCCTCCTCCTGAGTAGCCACTCCTGCCTTTTGCAGCCCTGAGGAGCCCTTCTCAACTCATTGAGAAGAGGCTCCTCCACTTCGTTCTTTCCACTTGAAGGAGCCTCTGGAGGTTCTGAAGGCCCTGGTTGAGTCTCTGCCTCTGGCACCACATCCTCTTCAGCATCCTCGCTGTCCGATGCGAGCACCGGCTGCGCAAGCTGCTGGCGCGACACCACACCAGCCTCCTCGTCGTCCGGATCAGCCACAATCCGTGCCGGCTGCTGGCGGGCCACAACAGAGGTAGAACTCATGCTGAATATCCCAGTTCCTTGTCCAATCCCTTAACCGACTGACCACTTGGAGTGGATTTGTTATTATAGTCATACTGGGATATACTGTATGTTAAGGACCACTGAATCTTCTGAACAGGATAATGCAAACCTTGTCTGCATTATCATGGTGAACTTTGGTCTTTAAAATGTCTAGTTCTAAAAACCCCTTTTAATACCAAGATTGGTAAAATATTCTTGCATGGAGAAAGTGTGCTAGTATGCCAATCTAGACAAGACAATTCAACCATGAAATACCTTTGCAGTAAATCAGTAGCTGATTTATCTTAAATTTAAATGTTACAAGCTTGTTGAATCTTGTTAAAAAAATATTTCCATACATTCTTACCAGCAATAAAGATTCCCAGACCGGGCCAATATAGCTGATGATTTCATAAATTTATGTGGCAGTTTAACAATACAATTTATTACCTTGAAATATGAATTAGCTTTCCAGTGAGAGCACTAAAGCTGTGACTTTGCTAGTAAACTAAATGGGTACCTTTTAAAAGGAACCAAGGACACAGTGTAAGATACTCTGGGTCCTTTTGTATCATATATTAACTTTTATGAGATATAGATATAAGGGAAAAAAAATCTCATTTACAAATGAATCCCAATTTTCTAGTGATAATAATTGAAGGAATGTATATGTATAAAAATCATGCACAGACACTCTTTGGCAAATGAATGTTTAATGCCAGTGAAAACAGCTGAAGCATCCTAGCTTATTGAAATTCTGTTAATAATCTTTGCCCACCTGGTGTTTTCTAGATGTGTTTTTATCTACAAATCCAGAATTTTTATTCCAGCTCTCTGGAAACTCAGGAAGGATAATATGTTATGGAGAGCTAATATAAAACATTAGTTTTTTTAAAAAAAAATAATCAAATTGATCAAATTGATCTTTATGCTGTAAAATTACATTGACCAGTATCCAATGATTGGTTACACATGAAAACCTTTATGGAACTGCTTTATGGTTTATTTAGAATAGAATAACAGAGTTGGAAGGTGCCTTGGAGGTCTTCTAGTCCAACCCCTGCTTAGGCAGGAAACCCTACACCACTTCAGACAAATGGTTATCCAACATCTTCTTAAAAATTTCCAGTATTGGGGCATTCACAACTTCTGCAGGCAAGTTGTTCCACTGGTTAATTGTTCTAACTGTCAGGAAATTTGTCCTTAGTTCTAAGTTGCTTCTCTCCTTGATTAGTTTCCACCCATTGTTTCTTGTCCTGCCCTCAGGTGCTTTGAAGAATAGTTTGACTCCCTCTTCTTTGTGGCAACCCCGGAGATATTGGAACACTGCTATCATGTCTCCCCTAATCCTTCTCTTCATTAAACTAGTTCCTGTAACCATTCTTCATATGTTTTAGCCTCCAGTCCCTTAATCACATTTGTTGCTCTTCTCTGCACTCTTTCTAGAATCTCAACATCTTTTTTACATCGTGGCGACCAAAACTGAATGCATGGGATGAAGTTTACATGGGATGATGTTCGCACTTGGTATCTAGCCTGACTCTGTTACCAAATATTTTGGGGTGGGAAAATTTAGGGTGTCCTTTAGCATATTCAAGGCATAATGGAGATGTTGAACTCATTTTGGTTTTGATTCATGAAGTTCCTTGTAGAGTTTTGCTTCCAATAGGTAATTTGAAAATTCAGAATTTTTCTTCTTTTTCTTTTAAGAAATTCTTTCGTATTTCTCTTGAAAAAAAAAACTTGATGGGGATTGAAGTGAAGGGAGCATTGGAATTAATAATTGATCTGTCCTCCAATAAGAACAAATTTGGAATAGGATATCGAATTCCACTATTTGTTGTGACTCCGACCCCCGAGCCCGTCTTATCGGAGGAAGAAGACTCCAAAGGTGAAGGAGAGGAGTTGGCCAGGCCTCCCTCTCCAGGACCCTCCTCTCTGGCAATGCCTCAGGTGTCTCCTGAGGGAGAAGAGATTGGCCAGGAGCCAGGTATCTCCGAACAGTCACAGTCGGACAGTGACGGAGATAAGTCTTGGCTGGATCCATGCCAGTGTCGGAGAGACAAGCGCACACAGCAGAAAAGGAGGTGTGCCAGAGATTAAGCTGAGTCACTGGACCACACCCCACAGGGGATAAAAGGGGGTGTGGTGGCCATTCAAGCTCTGTGACGGACAAAACTAAACAACTAACGAGTCGCATTATATCTCTGAAACTATGTTATCTGCCCGCCTTGGATTTAATACGGATTGGACTTGACAATTCTTTGACTTTGTGTATTTGTTTTGGTTTATCTGACGGAGGAGGAACACCTCCCTCTGTGAGTAAAGTTCTTGGCAAGCAGCTACTGGGTTGCTGCCAATCCTGTTATCAAAGGAATTTATTGTCTGCAAGTTTTATTTAACACCTGGCTGACTGTTTGTGTGCGTGTGTGAGACGGGGACAGAACACTATTTGGATAGTTGGCAAGTTTATATGGCTAGGAGAAAATGATGGATGTGTACTTCATTGTCACTTCTACTGTCTAGTTTTCTACTTGAGTGATTCTCCCTGTGTTGATACTCTCTTATGAACAACCCATCATCCTCAATCTCACTTGACCCTCCATCATTTAATGTTTTATGCAACTGTCCACCTTCCTTCTTTTCCATCACTTCCTTCCCCTTTAACAACAGAGATATTCCAATTTCTAATTCTATTCAGTGATATTTTTTTCATTTTACTTGTTACTTAGTTCTTCCCCCCTCCCCCCATTTATCCCTCCCACAAACCATTCACTTTTTTTTGGTCTCTGTGAAATTCCAAGGATAGGCACGTGAGTCTGTCTTTTGACCTTGCCAGCAGAATTCCTCCCATCTTAGCTGTCCATTTTGATATGCATCAAGAGTGATGTCTTAGTTAACATCACCAAATAGATCAAGGATGGAGATAATGGAGGAAAGGTTCTATTTAATTGCACCGACAAGAGATTACTAGGAGCTTTGACAATGCTGCAGCATTTTGAGTTGCTAACCTCAAAACTGTAAGCTATTGATTTTGACAAAGTTTGTTGGGCAGCTTCTCCTCATAGTTTCTGCAGTTCTTTCAGTTTGGGGAGATAAAAATTAAGAAGTTTTTTTTTAAATTGTTGTTTTTGACAATGAAAAATAGCAGCTCCTAATTTTTTTAAAAAAATTATTTATTTGTCAAACATGTATGAGAAAATAAGTATACATATAAACATAACGTATAAACATATAAGTATAAACATGATTATGAATACAGGAAATGTGTACGAATAAATGGGGACACTAGGACAGGGACAGTAGGTATGCTGGTGTGCTTATGCACGCACCCTTACAGACCTCTTAGGAATGGGCTGATGTCCACGGTAGACTGTTTAAAGTTAAAGTTATGGGGGTTTGAGGATGTAACAACAGAGTCAGGTAGTGTATTCCAGGCATTGACCACTCTGTTGCTGAAGTCATTTTTTCTGCAATCAAGTTTGGAAAGGTTTACTATGCGTTTGTATCAGTGGTGGGTTTCAAAATTTTTTACTACCAGTTCTGTGGGTGTGGCTTGGTGGGTGTGGCATGGCTTGGTGGGCGTGGCTTGGTGGATGTGGCAGGGGAAGGATACTGTAAAATCTCCATTCCCACCCCACTCCAGGGGAAGGTTACTGCAAAATCCCCATTTCCTCCCGATCAGCTGGGACTTGGGAGGCAGAGAATAGAGTGAAGTACTCTTCTTATGAAATACCTCTGGACTCGTTCAATTGTATTAATGTCTGATATACAGTGTGGATTCCAGGCAGACGAGCTGTATTCAAGAATTGGTCTGGCAAAGGTTTTGTATGTAGAAGAAGCTTCGCAAAATTAGGTTAACAACTCTTAATGCCTTTTTGGCAATGCTGTTACAGTGAGCTCTAAGACTTAGATCTTTTGAAATGAGTACTCCTAGGTCCTTTCTTGATTCATGTTCCAGAATTATAAACAAGTAAAGTTGCCCTTAAAAGTGCATGTATGTATGTATGTAAATGTATGTGTGTACATTTGTAAACACAAATGTACACACACACACACACACACACACACACACACAGAGAGAGAGAGAGAGAGACAGAGACAGAGACAGAGACAGAGAGACAGAGCGCGAGCGAACAGAGAATCTAACATGAAACAGGTGAGATGGTTCTTACTTCTCTCTAGTTCACACTTATATTTTTGTTGCATGATATTTAGTGCTAGTTGGAGCATGAAAAATCAATCTTACTTTAGCTGAATGGTGTGTCAGTAGGGCAGCATTGTAGCCATAGTTCTTCATCTGTGAAGCTCTTGTTTTGGTGCAGGTGCCAGAACAGTTTTCTGAAAGGATAGAGTACACATAGCGAGAACTGAGTAATCTAAATTTAGGAAGGAGTGCATTATTTTAACATTCATGGGTGTGCTTAGAAACAAAAATTATTATCTGATGCTCTTTTCTAATTTTTTGGTGCCAAGAACCCAGAACATATGCTACAGGAATTCAAAAGCATCAAGGGATGAGCTGCATTATTAAAATCAGCAAATGTTGCAAGAAAAATGAAACGGGAGGCATATTTTTGCATGAAATTTAATCTTGTGACTACATGCAACTTTTATTTTCCAATAGAATTTTCCTTTGTGAAAAATCAGTGGCATTTGACTTGATTGTATAGCCTTATCATTTTGGGTGCTCTAGTTGGAGAGTTGATTATTGATCAACCCTATCTGACTCTTCCTCTCTAATTGATAAGTGCTGAGTGTAAATCCTTCCTTTCCCTTCTATTTTTCACCAAATTATGAAGAGATTTTCTTTGAAGGGTGACTATAAGCCAAGAACAAAATAAATAGTCTCTTTATCAAACATGAAAATTGACATGTATATCTCTAGAATATCTTTCTTCAAAAGCCTCAAACAAACAAAAAAAGCAGAATCCCGTTTCTTATGCAGAGAAAGGGAGAGAGAGAGAGCTGACTTTTGTATATATGCTATTTTACATTTAATACAAAACTCATGCATTTTGCATTTGTTTGCCCTTACCTGAGTTTTCTTTTCTTTTTTATTGCATGGTGGGAATAGTCTGCCTATTCAGTTGCTGAATATGATTTGATTGTACTGGAGTTATAAGCTAAGATAATAATACTGTATTTCTTTGTCAGTTTGGACAATCTCTAGCTTTACATTTACTATCTTTGCTTGCCTCTCTAGTGTTCATTGATATGCTTTGGTATTGATTCCTGATCCTGTCGCTCAGGGGCTAAGCAGGCCATCCACAGAGGACGGACTTATATGTGTATTCTTCATTTCATTTCATGGTTTGTAGCACCAATTATAGATTATTTTAGTACAGTCCATAAAAGAATAACATAAGCTAGGGGAAAACAAGGATGTTTCTGTGCTCCACTAACTTCAATGGAATTTAAGCACCTTTTAATGAGCTTTCTGTTCTTTATCCCAGTTTTTTTTCCCCTGAATGGCAATTTTTTATGAATTTTGTTTTGGGGTCGTTCGCGTATCTGAAACCATACAAAACTAGTTTAATGCACAGAGCACTACTAGATATGGTTCCAATTTGCTTGTGGAGTGAATTGAGTAGCCTAATGATCAATTAATACTGTTAATGTATACATTCTAACATGGTTAATCCTATACAGAATTTCTGTTGCTGTGCCCATACGATTTTATTGCATTTTATTTGGAAAAAAGGATTTTTTTTTTCAAAGTCATCAGATAGCACAACAGAAATTACCATTTCCCTCTGAAGGTTTGCATAGATGACTTCTTTGGGCTTTGGAAGAGACGCCTGATTCATTGCACCTTCCAGCTTCTGGTAAGAGTACGGCCAAGTAAAGGAGCCAAACTACTGCTTGTGGGGACATGGCAAAAAACTGGGGTAATGAATTAGGACATGCAGTAGGGCTGTGTAGATGTCAGATACAAAGCCCCCCCCCAAAAAAGCTTCAAGACATCTGAGTGTCAGGTCCCACTTCCTGTTCCCACAGCTCGACCAACCTCTGCTATAGCAGCCCTGAAGATTAATTGATTGATTAATTGATTGATTTGTCAACAAGTACAAGGAAACAAGTAACAGTATAGACATAGACATGGACACATGAAAAAAATTGGCACAAATAAAAGGATATAAATAGGTAAAACATAGCCATAAACACATAGAATGATTATATATAAATGGGGACAGTAGGACAGGGATTGTAGGCAGGGATTGATGCGCTTATGTACACCCCCTTAGGGACCTTTTAAGAAACATTAGAGGTCCACTGTAGACAGTTTAAGGTAAAAGGTATGGGGATTAGTGAGACTAACAACAGGATCAGGACAAGATGTCAGGAAAAAATGGCTCCAGGGCTGACACTGAGTATGTGAAGTAGTACCTGCATGCAGTCCATTAAATCAGTGCATTTCCACTTCAGCATCTTTAAGAAATGTGGACTTGTTGACTGGGGGACTTCTGGCAGCTAAAGTCCATACATCTTGAAGTGGCTGAAACGTTGGCTTAGATCATTCAGTCCAACAGTTATTGGACAATAGCTGAGCTCTTATTGGCTGAAATATCTATATTTACCAATTGGCCTTGGAAGGACATGTCTTGTTTACTGTTGGTTCTCAAGATGTAGTGTAGCCTCCCAGAGTGAAGTGTGTAGAATTACATAGAAATTAAAATGGCGAGAAAAGCGCCTTCACAATTTGCTGTCTTTCAATTCTGGAAAAAACTTGGATAACAGGTTATCTGAAATACCTGCAGAAAATCATTCTGTTAGTCATATAGATTGTAAGACTTAATTATTAATATAGGCAGTCCTCATGTCAGTTGGGACTGGCATTTCAGTTGCTAAGTGGTGCAGTCATAAAGGATAATGTCACATGACTGTGTTGCTTAGCAATGGCAGTTCCAGCACTTCCCAGGTGCTACTGTTAAGTGAATCAGTGTGGGTGGTTAAGTGAGGACATCACATGGTTGCCATTTGCAACCTTCAGCTGGCTTCCCCAGTGTCTTTGCTTTTAGGAAGCCAGCAATGGAGATTGCAAATGGTGGCTACGTGAACATAGGACAGTACAATGTTGTAATTGCAAACTGGATGCTTACTATCCAAATTGTGGTCATGTGACTGCAGGGATGGTGTGACAGCTGAAATTTTGAGGACTAGTCACAAGTTAAGTGCCATTATAAATTAAAATGGTGACTGAATGAGTGGTCATTAAGTGTGGATCACCTGTAAGACAAAGATACAGTCTGTTGAGATTCACATTTCAGGATGGTCAGAATCACTCATTGGTTTCAATATGTACAACTAAGTTGAATAGTTCAGAAGCAATTACAAAAACAAGGTGAAATAATAATAGGTTTCCCTGATTGGGGTCATTTACTGGGGCTTATTTATATGTTGTTGCTGAAGTACAATTTAGAATGTGAACAGGTCAAAGACTATGTGATTAATGGATGCAGAATTAAATTGAACAATTGAGGTAACATATTTTTTTCAAATTTATGGTTAATACTACACTTAGAGAAAATTGGTTCAAGATGTTCCATGGATGGTAAATTATCCCAGTATTAATTTTGAAAATAGACCACTTACTTTCTAAAAACAGTTGAAAAAGCAATTATACATTTTAATAATTTTTTCACCTTTGGTGGCAAGTTATTAAAGTTCAACAATAATAGAAAATAATATACAGTATAAACAAAATACATTTTAAAAGTGAATTCTCCTTTTCAGGCTGCCATTTTTAAATTAAATATTGCTAAATTAAATATTTATAATACAGTGCTGGCTTTGTACATAGCAACAGCTGCTAGGATTCTTCTACTTCTCATTGGAAATTAAAACCATCCCTTCTGTGGAAGAAAGGCAAATTAAATTATGGAAGCATGCACTGATGTCAAAACTAACTTCATACCCGAAAAACAAATCTGATATAGAATTTAATTCAATGTGGAATCCATTTTGGATTCCAACCTAAAAAGGTTCATGTCACATCCAAAGTGAAGTGAATAAAGAGGATGGCTTTGAAGGTCCGATGGAAATGATAGAGTAAATGAAACTCTACCCCCATCCTCATGAAGATGAACGAGGGAACTTGGGAAGTACATTCAGAGTTGCAAGATTCTGTTAAAATAGCTTTAGGTTGACACAGTGTCTCTTTCTTAGTTTAGTCTACCTTATATGACTGACACAAAGGTTGAATTTTGGCTAAGATAAAACTATAATTTTAAAGAAATATTTATTAAACCTCCTCAATGTTTAGATTGAGCCAAGATTACTACAACTCATTCATCCCAATGTATAAATTCTAATTTGAGTTACGTTGTCATAGATACTAATTATTGTATAGAAGATAATTTTAATATCCATTCACTTTAACGTAAGCTTTCAGTATAAGGTAATTTAATGTGCAGATTTAAATCACTGTTATTTTGAAATGTAAGAGCAAATTTTATGATGCTTGCAAATCTTTTTTCTACTTTTTGATTTTTTCTCCTTTATTCTTCTCTTGTCTCCCCCCACCTCCGTATGTTGAAAATAATATGAATAAGTCACTTTATTAAGTGACTTGATGCATTTTGCCATAAATTTGGAAAAAGGGAGCAGGTAATCTTGAATATGAACTATGAACTTACTCCATGTCACTTTTCCTTTTGTAATCTATTTTTCCAGAGTGTTGTGCTTCTAGGCAGGTTAACTCTTAGTCTTTATGGTAAGGTGAAGAATGGTACAGGTAATCTTTGAGTTACAACCATTCATTTAGTAATTATTCAAAGTTATAAGCTCCTAAAAAAATATTTATGATTATTGCAGCATTCTCCAAAGCAATGGTGAAATCCAAATCTTTTTACTACCAGTTTGGTGGGCATGGTGGTGTGGCTTGGTGGGCGTGGCAGGGGAAGGATACTGCAAAATCTCCATTCCCACCCCACTCCTGGGAGATGGATATTGCAAAATCTCCCACCCCACTCTGGGGCCAGCCAGAGGTGGCATTTGCCAGTTCTCCTAACTACTCAAAATTTCCGCTACCGGTTCTTCGAACTACTCAAAATTTCCACTACCGGTTCTCCAGAACCTGTCAGAACCTGCTGGATTTCACCCCTGCTCCAGGGGCAACTGAACTTTCTTTGTTTTGCTTGGAGACTATTTGTTTCTCATCCAAGAAGTTTCCTTAGTTCAGAACTGAAGAATGATTGGAAAAGCATCTTGGAAATGCAACTTTGGGGCAACCATCACTTGGATGACTGAGAATCTCTGTAGACAAAACCATGATTTTGAATGCTGGGTGAAGCCTGTCAGTCTTAGTTATGCTTTAATGTAGTCTTTTTCAACCCGGATGCAAAAAAAAAAAAAAAATGGCCAGTGTTGAGAATTCTGGAATGGATGGATATTGGGAAACCGCCTTCTTTCCCACTGCAGTCAAATGTATGGCCATGAATTTAAGCCCACTAATTTCAGTAGAAATGAAGCTTGATATATTCTGGAATGATTGGCTTAAATTCAGTTAAGCCTCTGATGGCTTTTTTTTCCCCAATCAGAAATCCTCTTCCCTATACCTATATTTACACCACTTCTATAATGCCCTCATTATCTGTTTCTAAAGATTGGAGGCTCTCCAGTATAAAGGTTTGTGGATCTGCCTAAATCCATATCAATGTCATCGAATTTCATCATTGCATTTCATGAAACATTTCCCAATTTTGAAAAAAATGATATGACGTCTGTAACTACTTGCTATATATATATTTTACTTTCCTCAATATACACTTTTAAAAGGCAACTATTTCTTCTGTAACTGGATGTGTTTCTCTGTGTTTTAAAAACTCAGTTGCTCCATGCACATTTGTATATAATTATATAGGCAATTATATAACATTTTCTCTTTTATATTTTAAGAAGAAAATGATTTCATTTATTGCTGTTAGTTGGTACCTTGGCTAAACATTTTGATAGATTATGCCTTTGAAGTCCATGTTGAATTTCTTTTATATTTCTTTTATATTCTTTTATATCCATTGCAGACTATGGAGGTTTGGGTGGTAACTTAGGGAGAAAATTTCCTTGCCTGAACAAAAGCCCACAGTGTCGGGTTTCTTGCATTGAAATTATTTTTTTTTATTGTGTCTGCCTCTTGACAAATCTGTCTATATTTGAAACTGAACCAGCAGAACTTACTGTAATTTCAGGTGTAATTATATAAGCACTTACAAATTCTTTAGGGATTGCATTTTCTCAGAATTGTTTCAGAATATGTGTGTGAAGGGAAGGCTAAGAGGATGGGTGGGTGGGTGGGTGGGACAGCAGCTATATTTTAGTTTCTAGCCCCTATCTAAAATGCCCACTGTTGTAAGTGGATCTGTCTAAAGTGCAGTATAAAAAACTATGGATCCACTTTGACACATACCGTAGAAGGAACGAGATTTTTCTGCTTCAGCTCTGTGCTGGGACTAATAACATGTACAACAAATAGCTGATGAAGTGATATCTTTGAGGCTGCTTACAATCTTTCAGGAAGCTGATCAAAACTGCTTTGAGGTATGTATTTGTGTGTGTGTGTGTGTGTGTTTGTGTCTATGACATGAGGACAAGGATCAGGTTTGTTTCTGGAAAGACATTTTTTTTTTAAAAAAAAACACAGCTTGAGATAATGCTGGTATATCTTTGCAGAGTCAGTTAAACAAGGAGAAATCCATCTGTAAACCTAAGTTGCCTTTAATTTCCTTTAGTATATATATATCTCCAAATTACAGAGAATTCATTCCTAAGCTGGAAAGATGCCAGAAGTTTTTCATTTAGCCATTGTAGGCTGCACCCCCCCTCTCTCTCCCCCCCTCTCCCCCCACTCCCGCCTGCTTCACTTTGAGGCTTTCTGATGCCTATAGAGTGAGCTCAACTCAAAGGTTTTGCAGTCTCACACTTGCCTGGTATTCTGTAACAGTCAGATCACGCTCTGTATCATACCAAAGAATACTGTGGCAATATCTGATTTCTACCTTCTCTTTTTTCCTCTGCAGGTGCTCTAGCAACTTCACAATGCATCTGGTAATGTATACCTTTTATTAAGTAAAGCATTCAAGGCTTGTTTTCTTTGATCTTTGTGAAGCTTTATTTTCTAAGTGAATTGAATAAGAAGATGATGCTTATTGAAATATTGATATGTGTGTGTTTGTGTGTGTGTGTGTTATCTATAGATATCTGTGTATGTGTAGTCACAATTATGTTTATAATCTTAAGGCTGAGTGTACATAAAGTCTCTGTGAAAACGGTTCCTATTCCAGTGAAATTTCCTTCCTGCACATTGCTTGGGCAGATATAGATTAGGGAACAAGCAATTTATACTGAGTTAAGTTTTGAAAAGCAAATCAAAATTAAAGCTGTTGTTCACACCCATTTGTGTCAGCTCCGTAATGAGATACTTCTCTGACAGCAGTAGAAGTAAAGCAGGACGGAATAAATATCTAGGGGCTATGAACTCTGAAATGGCAAAGATTTTGCTGCTAAGGCATAATTCCTGTAGATTTTAGAATTTTTCTTTTACATTTTTTCTGGAAACGCTAGTGAAGGGGAAAATACGACTGTACGTACTTCCGAGAAATCTCACAGGTTTCTCAGCTTCTTTATTCAGAAAGCACTATGGTCATCTTAAAAATGAGATTGTGAATCGTAATTGGATCCTGAAGTCAGAGTTGAGTTGTTTTGTCTATGTTTTTTTGTTTGTTTTTGTTTTTCAAGGGCCATGTGGCCACACATTTGTGTTAAAAAGCCATGTAATATTGTTAATGTGTGATCCGTCTAATTGTACCGGCAGTGGGACTTTGAGCTTAATTATAAAGCAGTTTT